TATAATGTGTTTGGGACACCTCCTTCCAGCAAACCTATTTAATACGAGGTCCTAATGTGCAATGGCAGGCACATCAGCAGGAGGTCACACAGATAGCAAAAGGGCCATAGAGGCATGAGCTCTTACCGTACAGCTGAAGAATAATCTACAATTTGGTTAAACTGAAGTAGTCAAAGCACCAGCATGTTTTCCTACACATGCACCACTTATATATTATTTGTGTATAAAAATCACCCTAGATGTTACATGTTACAAACACCAAAACCCTGACACCAGTTACTAAAGGCATTTTCACAAATGTCAGGAAATACAAACATGGACAGAGTGTCTTCCATCAGGACGACAGGGCCATGGCAGGGTAGGATTAGAAGATCAGGACAGTACAGCTTAGTGGCATGCTGCTTTACTGGACCAGATCAGCTTCCAGGCCAAAGAGCTTTGAGCCCTGCTGTTTAAGGGCTGGTTGACGGATTCCATCGAGAGTCCACCGGTTCAGACAACAGTCGGAGGGTGGAGGCCTGGAGGCTTCTCTCTCACTGTCATCCACTTCTCAAACGTCATCAGTCACTGCCCTTATCAAACAGCACTCTCCTTCCCTCCATGCAAATGTTGCTTTCAAACATGCTGTGATCAAACGCAGGCAGTGTCATCACAGTGGTTGCCACAAGAGGCAACCCCAGCTTTTTCCAAACCACCTGCTGGTGGAAAGAGCTCAGACATGTTTGTGTACTAAGCTGCAATGGTAGATTGAAAGTGAAACAACACACAGACATCAAGGACAGGCTCAGTACTATTCTACCTAAAAAGTTGCTTACCTACATGAACAACAAGCAAACTGAGGTTAAACACTTCTTTGCAGCTTACAAGGAAAAGACTGCTTTAACATGTGAGAAGGGGGTCATTTGATCTCCTTAAATGATCATTTATTCCCCCAAATGATGTAAAGAGAGAAGAATGGGGGATGGGGAATTTTGGCTATAAAATTGTAAAACTGAACCACTATTAAAAGAGGCATTGCTTTCGCACAAGTTAAGGTCACGCTTTACTTTGTAGCTGTTGTCGGCTACAGCCGCAGCGTACGTAAGTGGAGCTTTTTTTCTCTTTAATGGACTGAGGGCACTTACGTCTCATGGTATGTCTCACCCTCGGTGGCTGTGATACTCTTGAAGATGCAGTCACCGTCATACTCCTCCCACTGTCTCATAAACAGAAACTCCTCCCACTGTCTCACAAACAGAATCTTCCTCTCTCAGATGTATGTAACTTAGCCTAGCAGCTAACATGGTTTAGTAACTTACTTAAGGGTTAGCAGTATAGCTACTTCCCTAGGAAATGTAAGGAATGTCAGATTCTGTTCAATAAACCACACGCATGCCACAGGTAGGACACCTGTGCAATCGCCAAGAGGAAAGAAAACTGATGCCCTGAATGTCATTGTATGATTTTGCCTTCTGCAAATAAACTAATTTACTTAGAATTCACCACAGTAGGACCATGGTGTCTGAGCCACTCCAGTGATGCTGGGGCATTGTGCTTGTTTTCACTGTCTTGCTGAAAGGTGAACTTTCTCCTAAGCTTTGACTTCTCAGCTAGTTATCTTTCAGTATTTCCCTGTATTTGTTGCTGTCCATTTTTACTTTAATTTTTAAAAGGATGTCCCACAGGATGATCCTGTCACCATCAAACTTTTTGTGTGGATGACATTTATTGGCCAGGGTCAGGTTTGTGCCCCACATTGTGCTTTGAATTGTTGCTAAAACCTCTTGATTGCATCTGATGTGTTTTTCATATGTGACGTTTTTCCTTGAGTAATGGCTTCTTTCTTGCCACCCTTCCATATAGGCCGGTTTTATGCTGAGTTCTGGATACGGCTGACTGAGGCACCTTTACTCATATACAGTCACTGAACTCCTTCTGTGGACTCCTTCAAAATGCTTGTTAGCCTTTCCCTGGGTTCTCTCATAAATTTAGCATATTTTGCAAATCAGCCATTTGTAGTGTCTAGGGGGTGTGATGCAGCTTCCACTTCCTGGTTATGGATCCACTAGTTCTCACTGAGAGATCCAAACACTTGGACTGTCTTTTACCTTTTATCAAGATTTTGTCTCTTCTTCTGGACTTTTTTCAAACTTCATACAGGATCCTTTAACCTCATGAAGGATTTTTTGTGCGTCTTCTACTGACACATATAGAAGCACTTTAATAACACCATATGTATTCAAAACATATGGCAGTGCATCTCCAATCTTCACATTCATATTTTATATCTCACACCTGCTCTAAGTATGACTTGGTCTAGTATGTCTGGTTTTATTCTGCTGGCTCACTTTTCTCTCCCTCTTTATTGAAGTTATTTTCATGTTGCACCAGTGCACAATGCAACTATGTAACATGTCTGAGACAAGCAGTCTAATTGGCTGAGAATATGGTAATAAAAACATCATAAACCCCAGTACATACTCCACTTCAACATTTTTTGTGCATAATGCACAGGATCCTGTACTTATAAGAGTGAAAACTGCAGGCGAAACAAATGGTAAACTATGACATATCGGTCAGAAAAGCACCATTTAACTAAAACTATTGGAGTCTGTTTAATTTTTGACCCTATTCTGCCCACAGACTCTATCAGCTAACATTATCAGTTATTAGAATTTTTAGGTCCTTAAATGAAATTTGTATACGCGCTGGACACTAGTTCTACAGCACAGTGCTAGACTGAACAAGGTGGTCACACGTAGGTGCCTGAGGTTTCAGAAAATTACACAACAAGCCACCAAACTTTTAAAAGCACCAACACACAGAGGGAACAAAGGCTCAAGCTAGTACAAGGCTAACCAGTGAAAAGTGTTTAAACTGTGACAGGGGTGAAAAGCAGAAAAGGAGGGTATGAATAGACAGCGATGTCTGAGCCTGTGGGAGGGGCCGAGAATGTGTTTGGGGTGGAGTGAGGCTGCGTAACCGGATCTCCACATAAAGGACAATCTGGGCTCCTTCCTGGTCTCTAATGAGAGCGGCAGCGAGGCTGTCAGGCTGATCAGAGTCAGATGGCGAGCCCCGAGCGCACTGCCCCCCGCCGAAAGTGCCGCCCGACACCCTTTGTTACCTCCAAGTGAGCTGAGACTAGCCCATGAACCATGTAACTAGGTGGTTTCCAGGTTAATGAAAAGCTGTAACTGCAGTCCCACCATCTCCCTGGAAGGCTAACTACACACCAACACTCCCAAAGCCAACCCACTCCCAAACAAGCCATTTTCAAAAAATGTCAACAAACCTGCAAAAAAATGAGCAACCTTGAACATATTTAAACATCACATGCCTATAGTGAGGAGCCAACATTTTTAGGGTTGACACACACACAGACGTGTATATATATATATATATATATATGCACACACACACAGCAGACACAGAGAGAGAGAGAGAGAGAGAGAGAGAGAGAGAGAGAGAGAGAGAGAGAGAATTACGTTTAAAGAGCTACCTCAAGCCCTCATTCTTCCATATGGCTCTAGTGCCCTCCTTTGCTCAGGGTAAATATGTATTCTAAAGTATACATTTTGTCAGGTTCCCCTCTAAAAAATCCCTTTGATTTTTCTAAGGCGGCTTGATGAATAGAAAGAAAAAAAGGTTCACTCTAGTTGGCATCCAATTTGGGGCAGTGGACATTAAAGCAGCAGCCAGGTACTAATAAGAGCCATTCCTGCAACTAGCGTCAGAAAGGAGGTGTGCTGGGTACAGCTACTTCAACGGCTCCAAGACTCGCACTAATAGATTTCAGCTCTACTCACTCTGCTAATTAGCCTGCTAGCATGCTTTAGGAAAGAAGGGAGGAGGTGGGGAGAAAAAGGGAGAAAGGGGGATGAGTAATACATCTACTGCAAATATATGTCAAAGCCCTCTTACTGCACGATTTCTTATCCTTAAATGAACAAATTATTGAATTATTCTTTAGAGATGATTCTTTAGAGTGACAAAATTCTGAAAGCACAAAGATGCATAGCACTACATATGTCCCTCTCACACACACCCCAAAAAATAAAGCTGCCATGCTGTAGTAAGACTTTTATCACTTTTTAAAGAAGTGCATTACAAAGAAAATAGAGTGTGCACTTTTAACCCTGACCCTGTGTGAAGAGAGAGTGGCCAAACTGTGGCCTTACCTGTAATAAACCCCAAACCTTCAGCACCAGACCCTAAATCACCCTACAGCACTCTGGAGTATCACATATCCCCTTTGTACAAGTTCACATACTCACCCTTGATCTACTTCCACCTTCTTGTATTTGTGGCTTTTCATTCAAAAATACTCTTACTTGAAGGTTATTGACTGGGATATAACAATAGCAAAGCTTGTGTATATGCCTGTGTGTTTATATGCATGTGCATGCAAATGTGTATGTATGTGCAGGCATGTATGCATGTTAGCAGCAGAGCTAGGGTCTTGGCAGGGCACGCAGAAGCTGTTAAGGTTTAGGAGTGGCCTACGACCTGTTTACTACCCACTAAGCAGTGCTGGTGTGAGGGCCATGATCACCCTCCACCCCCGTCCTCTCAATCTTACTTATATATTCTCCGTCAAATAACACAGAGAAAGGGAAGGCAGTCAGGAGACCCAACATTCGCCATGAACTTTTCAAGAGCCTCTCATTCATGTTTCTTTCAGTTTTACAACTACAGGCCTCAAACGAGGAACAGAATTAAATGGTATAATGAAGTAAAAATTTGAGCGATTTGCAAAACATTAAAGAGTATTACTTAAACATTTTGGGGGCGAATGGGTAAATGATGCATTTCATTTTCCACAAAATGATTTAGGCTCTTGGCACCAGTGCCCACAGTAGAGAGTGCAGCCTTGGCCAGGCCAACTTTGGCAGAAACAGAGAAAAAAAAAAAGGAACTGCATGAAAAGCATTTCGTCCAAATATAGGCTTGAGTAGCTTCTGCAGGCCCGCAGAGGACTGATGTGTAAGATTTATTTAAAGACAAAACATTTTTATTACCTGGTTTTCACTACGTCTAGAGGGTGCATCAAACAAATTTCCACCAGACCTATAGAGAAAAGAAACAGTAACATTACAAATGTATTAGTAATTTTGGCTCCCTGACTCATCTTTTTGAACAAACATGACAAAAGCAATCATGCAGTAGCATTAAAATTGTAACAGAAATACATAACAGTGTAAATTATTTTACTGTAAATACAAATTGTTACACCGAAACAGGAGAAAAAAGCAAATATTGAATATATATGGGGCAATGATGTGACACTCATTTTTGTTTCCATATTCATTAACATCTTAAAAAAACATTCATGGAAAATATTTAATATAGAAATATTACTCAAAGGCCAGTTCAATTCATTACATTTTGTAATTTTTTCAATCAAGAAGAGGTGTAATACTCCAAATTTGCACTAAAAACAAAACTGCCATTTAAAGGCTTACAATCTTCTAAAGATTAAATTATTAAAAATTATTATGGTCTGGCAAAATTGTACACTAAAATGTAAACAGAAAAAAAACATGGTGAAATGATTGTATTTTTAACCATTATTACTGTTTTAAAAACATTTGTTTGCAAAGTCACCAGAAGCCTCAAAAGCATGATGCAGCATGGTGTATACAACATTTAGTAAATGATATCACAAACAGACCCCTGAAGACCCTCATGGTTGTGTGTGAAGTTGGGTAAGACTTTCAATCTGAAAATTTGACTTTTTAATGACATAGCAAGGTTTCCAAGTCAAATTGTCTAACTGTAGGAAAAGTTAAAAAAAAAAAACTGATTTCATTTGAAAAAGAAGTTTGAAAACATAACGTTATCCATGTTATGCAAATGTTATCATTTCCAAAATAATTCCTATCAATATTGTGATAAAACAGAAATGTCAGGTGATGAGTTCCACGGGTGATTGTAAAACTCTTTCATAAATTAAGAATGTCAAAGTTTTTATTTGTCATATGTACAATTCAGTAACATTTCTCGAGAGTTTAATGATTTATACGTCTACTGTCAAATGCATTTAAGTTATATTAAAAATGCAATATTTGCATTTTTTGACCCTTACACCATTTTCCATCTTAAAGTTTATTTATTCAAAGACTTTCATCAAAATAGGCACCATCTCTATTCGTCACTGATGGGTGACAAATTAAAGGAAAAATCAGAATAAATGAGTGGAGAAACAAAATAAATTGCTCTGATATACTGCAGAGGCATTCTGCAGGCAGCGTTTGTGTTCACTTGTCCCTCTAGACTGAAGAATCACTGAAAATCCAATACAAAGTTATTCTGACTGATTTCTTTGACAATTTATGACAATGTTCTTATCCACAGGACACAAGGAGTCACTGAATGATTTGATGAGTACGAAAATGACACAAATTATATGCTCAGGCCTGCAGTTACCAGATGTCAACCCAAATGACACACATGAACACCACATATGAAGACAGCACGTTCCAACACCATCTTTCAAAAATATATTTCAGAAAAATGGTGCTTCATCCCTCCCATACAGACTTGCAGAATCTATGCCAAGGTGCACTTAAGCGGTTAAACTCTTTCAAAGACTTTTTTTTGCTTTAATTTGTCACCCATTTGTACATCTGCAATATTCCATCACATAAAATATGTGGGAATTATATACCAAAATACATACACTTGTAACTACAAATACAGAATTACAGATGTCTGTGAACTATATGCAAATATCATGTGTTGGATGTGTGCGTGTTCACATGCCATGAGTAAGCGGAAGGGTTTTCCCTCAAAAAATTTTCTGCAACAGTTCCCCAACCTCACATCTGACAGGAGCTACTTGGGCTGGCAAATGCCTTCATCACTCAGATCCTGTTTTTGCCTCCTTGCCACTCCACTGCAACTGACAAGCATGTGGTGAGGCCCTTGGCACAAAATGGTCTCAATACAGAGCTGTGGCAAATGGCATGGAATGCAGCACTTGCCTAGCCTGCAACTCATTACCATCATGCATTTTCATCACTCCAGTGCGCTGATAGATCAAAATGACCACATACAGTGTGGCACATGCAGTCGCATGAAAAGGTTTGAATACTCCTGGTAAAATTAGTTTTGTTGTGAAAACAAGTTAGGATATCCTCTACAGAGAATAAGCCTAAAATGGCAGATTTTTGTGCAATATTTCCATTTATTTGCTGAGTTTAACATGTTAAGAAAAAATAAAACATAAAATATAACATAACTGTTGCACATGCCAGAAGTTTATTATTCCCAATACTTAGAAAATTAACAAAACATGTAATTTGACCAGGCTGCCGAAACTGTAAGTAATTGGAGAGTGACACAATTTCTTTCTCTTGCTCTCTCTCTCTCTGGTTCTGCATCCTACTACACTGGATTTGAAACAAATCAATGACTATGAGGTTAAGGCATGGAATATTGGCATCTGCAACCTTTGCACCGGGACAACTATACAGGATTAATTTTAATCATACTCACAGATGTGTCAAAAACTACTATGAGAACAACACCTAAGCAAGACATTGGTGGGTTTGACCAAAGATGCATACCACTGACCTTAAGAATAGAACAGCCAGGTTATAGTTAAACCAGCAGTTTATTAGTAGCAATTTATTTTTACCATATTCAATATATTAATGATATCTTCTATGCATTCTAAATTCTCAGGCCATCTCATTGTCCATTAAAATAGGAGGACCATGTAAGCAACCATTTCATTCTAAATCTAAATGTGCTGAAGTACAGAGCTGAAACAGACACTGTGCCATTTTTCACCTTCCTTTGTACTCCAGTGTGTTTGTGAATTCTGCTCTGTGTGCATCAGCAAGTAGAGGAGGTACTCAGCTATTCCACACCAGCATTTCAGTGCATCAGATTTATAGTTGTGAAAGGACACAGGATGGTCATTTTAGTATGGCAAATAACACTAATTTCACACCGTGAAAGGCAACTCTTGACTTGATGTTCAAAGTGGCAACCACACAGATCAGGTTCCACTGGGTGCAAACTGAACAACGGTTGAAACTTTATCTCTGTCAGCTATGTGCTATGTAAATAGGTAATAGCCAGTTTGAATGCCTGTTTTGCACCAAACACTACATGACAGTGAGGAATTGGAAAAAGCTTTTTATTGTTTGAGAGATGCTCACAGCTAGGCTATCTGGCAGTACCACAGACAAAGGTTTGACTGCTCAAACAGAGGATGAAGATAAGTGAGATCCCTAGAGTAAAGAGGTTAAGAGTCTCATTGAGATTGTAGAACAGAGGCACTCTTTCTCAGTCGAGCCTCTAAACTCTTTAGAGATTCTCACTGCCATTCCGCTGTTCACTTTAATGGCTTCCCTCACAGATTCCTCTATGTGTACACAGCTGTTCAGCAATGCGGCCCTCATTCTAATTTGCTCCATTAAATATATTGTCCATAAACAAGACACTGTCTCCTTCGGGGATTTCCAGGAAAGTAATTATCAGGAGAAATACCAGAGAAGAATTACAGTTCACTGTTTTGTCTTAATCTGGGCACCGTTAGCTAATATTAACACACTGTCAGCAGCCAAAGTTACAAAAGCATCAAATGCAGTTCACTGTTAATCTCCTGTCAAAGAAAATCAAAAGATTTTAACAGATATGGCGTCTTCTTAAACAAACATGAAGTGGTATAAGAAGATGTTAAGTTCAGTAGCTAATTCCAATCCTTGTTTAACAATGAGAACAGAAAAAAGATCCTGAAGAATAGGTCATAATCCCTTTGTCTCCGAAGGGTCAACAATACACTGAAGTTTATCACCAATTAATCAAAGCTGCTAGAATATTATAGTATTATAGTATAGCATTATACTATAGGGATAGTATAATGTAGCGTTCTCAGAATACAAACACTTTTCATCTAAGTGCTCCATCTATCCAGCAGAGTAGAGAGAAATTAAGTAGTTGTGGCCTGGCAAAACCATTTCAGCTTTCCATCTGAAGGTGCTGCAAGAATATGGTCCTGTGGAAATCTCTCCAGCTATTGTTCAGTCATTAATATGCCAACTGAGATAAAATGCCACCAAGGTACAGCAAAATAAAGAAAAAAGAAAAACAAGAATATGCCATCACTATAGCAATAGAACAAACCCAAAAGAAACTTCTGTTATCTCCACTGTCAGTCCAATGAAAACATGCCATAAACATCTGGCCCACTTTAATATAGTCTATACCTAAATACATAACACAATTTGAGCAGTGAGCAACTCAGTGAGTAAGCACAAGGGCATGTAAGCGTGCCATAGGAGCCTCTCACTGTGGAAGCCCTTCAATCGCTCAGTCCTGCACGAGACGGCCTAACAGAGGCAGCAGATCAAAGGTACAAACCAGCAAGAGGCCACGAGTGCCTGTCACTCATTTGACTCTAATGAACTCCATCTTAAGGGAAAAGCTCCCCACTTAAGCACCGAGACAAGAGTTATTGTCGCCCACAGAAAAAGGGAAACGCACAAACAAGGTGAAAAGAGGCAAGAATAAACCATGGCCATTTTTACTGTGTTCCATATGGATGGATTTAAGCTTGCAGGAAGGGAGGGGGAGAGATGGATAGACCAAAAGAGATAGCGGGACATTTCCTCCACATGATCACTATGACAGCAAATAAAACTTGCTAGGAGTGAGCAGTCTGTGTGCTACCAGTGAGTCAGTGAGGAACGTCCATCACACTGTATTAACATGGATGGAGCTTAAGACTGAAATGGTTGGCAGTGGAGAGCATAGCTCTAAAGCTCTGCTGTATGAGCTGAATGCATTCTCTTAGAGCATGAGTAAGTTGCAAAAAGAAAACATTACTTTAATGATTAGTGGCTCAAAGTCACAAAATAACCCATAAAAACATCCAAATAGTCTGATTTATCAAATTGTAATTCAGCCATGACTGAAAATACTGACTATATTCAATGCATGCAAAATACCAGCTATGTCTGCTGTATCTTAGGATTGCTTTGTGTAGTGGAAATGAGAAGATTCATCCAGAAATCTGTAGATTCCATATATACCTATTCAGGCTCACTGGCAAAAAT